GGAGCGCCTGCGGCCCGGCACCGGGGTCAGCCCAGCCCGTGCTGGAGAGTCACGCCGCCTCGTCACTGCCCCAGTGACAGCAACAGCCGTTCTCAAGAGGCCGCGACCTACTGAGTCAGAAAGCACTGCTGGGACCACTCCACGTGGGGCTGGGGACAGCGCTGCCCTCGCTGACGCCGGCCAGCAGCGGCTCAGCCACGCGCCGCGCCCAGCCACGTGTGGGCTGGGCCCGCAGCCCTGGATGCAAGGGGGGGGGGACATTTTAAGGGCAGACACTGCGAAACTGCACAGAAACAGCAGGAGGAATTCACACCGACGCCCCGCAATCCACGGGGACCTCAGTGACCCCCACAGTCACTGTCCGGCGGGGCCGCAGGGTGCTCTCGGCGCCCAGCGCCGCCATGCCCTGGCCACCCGTGGCTCCTCTCCCTGGGGGCGACGGCGGCAGGAAGCTGGGTTGAGGACGGGAGAGGTCTGCGGCGGAGGCCAGGCCGCCTGTGGGTACCCCCCCCCCATTCACCCGTCCCAGGGCAGATTGGGAGGAAGGGTGAGCCCGGTGCTGGGGGCCGCGGGGGCTCCCGGCACAGCTTCGGCGGCGGAACGGATGGCCACGCTTCAGGGGCCACTTCTGCTCCTCCTCGGCTTCGGGACGCCGCCGCCGCGGAGGGGTGGGAGCCGCCCGCCGGGGTGACCCACCTGTGACCCACCTGTCTCACTTCGTCACAGAACAGGACGAAGACCAGCACGTACAGGACGAGCTCCGGCGGGTGCGGCACGGCGTGGAAGTCCATGAGCAGCACGTAGGCGAAGAGCAAGAGGAAGGCGATGTAGAAGACCACGTTCCAGGAGAAGACCACGAAGGGGGAGGTGAAGAAGGCCACGTAGTACCACAGGAGCTTCTTGTGCTTGTCCACGGGCTTCTTCCTGCACCCAGAGGGAAGAGCCGTGGTCGCGCTCGCACCACGCGCGGCTGCACGGTCAGCGTGGCCCTTGGCGTCCCAAAGCGCAGGGGAACCCTGTCCCGCTGTGAGGCCGAGCCCCGCCTCCGCCTCTGCAGCCAGATCCTCAGGGGGCCCCGGGGAGCCCAGACTGAACGGTGGGCACTGCCAGCCAGCTGGCCCCAGGTCTTCGAGTCACGTACGCGGGGTGCAGACTCGCCTGCACACGGGGGTGTGCACGCACGGGGCGTGTGTACATACGTGTGTGCAGGTGTGTGGGTGTATGTATGTGTGTGTGCAGTGGGTGTGTGCACACACATGGGTACTGTGCATGTGTGCACACGTGTGTGTGTGTGCACGTCTGTGTGCGCGCACATGTCTGCACACAGGTGCACACAGGTGCATGGTGCACAGGGTCACGTGCACGCACAGGGACGCCCGCGTGGGTGCGCACACAGGCACATGTGCACACAGCCACACCAAGCTGTGTACACACGGGGACGGTGTCCACACGCACAAACACACGGCACGTGTGCACACACTCGCACGCTGCTCTGCGCCTCCGCTCCGTACCTGAACGACACAAAGCCGCAGCCAACCAGAGGAATGATGAACAGGCACAGGATGATCTTCCAGTTCTTGGTGTCTCGGGAAATCTCCCCGTACCACTGCTTGGAAAGGAAGTTCTGCAGGACACAGACAAGGGGCAGTGAGTTCGGGAGGCTGTGTCACCCCTTCACCTGCCCAAAGAAGGAATCCCCCGCCGGAGCCTCTATGTCTGTGCCCTGCCCCCAAGGGGCTCTGACACAGCCACTCAACATTCCACGTGCTCCTTCGGCGCCAGCCCGACCCTACACAAACCCCAGGTCCCGTGCGTCTGGGAAACAGGGTTTCCCACGCGCTGATGAACCGCACCCGGATGAAACCCCCAGGCTGGAGGACGTGTGCAGGCGCTGCAGAAGCCTCCTGGCACCAGAGCCCGGGGCCACCGGCGGGACGGGCCGAGGGCGGAGAAGCTGTGAGCAGAGCCGGCGCCCAGCCAGCCTCCCAGCCACCCAGCCCCGGCCACCTCACTGCAACCTGGCACTGCGCACAGGCCGCCCTGCGCCCAGCGAGGCCCGCGCCCACCCGGATGGCCCGCCCACCTGTCCGGCTTAGCTACCCCAGCACACCGTGCTCTGGAGCACTGGGCTAGCGGCTGCACGGGGGGTCCCTGCAATGGGCAGTCGTTGGGACATCAGGTCCGAGCACCGCTGCTTCCTAGCAATGCACTCTGAGGAACGTTCCAGAACCTGTGTGAGCTCTTCCCAGTTCTTGAGCTGGGACCTCCGCATGAAGGGTGTGGCCCACACATGGCGGACACCTGCCCCTCACCCCAACCCCTCCACCCTCCCGTGCAGCTGGGGTCATAGTGATCTCCCCTCCAGCCCCTGAAGTGCCCCGAGGTCACTTAATTCCGTACAGAAAATCTCTGCACCCGCCTGGCCCGTTCCTGCAGGTCTCTGAGGCTCCTGCTGCAGTGACTGTAACAGGAAGCGCTGAGGTGACAGGCAGGTGCCTCCTCCTTACGCTGAATCCTACAGCACCCCTGCGGCCCTTACAGCTGAGGAAGCCAAGGCTGGGGACGCACAGGGGACGTGGCCTGCAGTTAGGGACAGGGGCGGGCAGGCCCCACCAGGGGCCCAGCTCATCTGCTCAGGCGGGACTGCTTGCAGGGCAGAAACTCAAAGAACATTCTTTCTCCTGCCGCCCAGGCCTACAGCCTGCCGCCTCCGGGACCTCTCCTGGCTCCACCGCCCCCCAGCGTGCTCCAGAGGGGGAAGCTGCTTCTGCTATGGCAGCACCTACGGCCGGGAAGCCCACGGGAAGCCGGCCGGGCACGCGGGTGGCGCTGTACCTGCACCCCGGGCTGGGCGATGAAATGCTGGTCTGTGGCCTCCACCGCCAGCTCCAGGCAGTTGCTGCCCCCCCAGGCCTCGCAGGAGTAGACCAGCAGCTGCTCCGCCAGGTCCTCGTCGTTGCTGTAGCACTCGGTGAACAGCTCTGCGGGCGCCAGAGGGGGCCGGCAGGCCACGCGGGGGCCCTGAGGCTGAGCCGGAGCTGAGCACCCAGAGGACGGGGTGGGGCGTGCGCGCGGACTCAGGTCGGGGCTGTGGGCGCTCAGGGAGCAGGAGAGTTCCAGGGGCCCGGGGCAGGGTCCTCCAGGTCCCAAAATTAACAAGGCTGGGCGCAGTGGTACTGCTCAATAGACAAGATGCTGAGATACTACAAATAGCTCATGCACAGTAGAATTCACTCACGGAAACCTTGGCTGTCGTGATTGTTATTTCCGTGCTGACATTTTCTCGCACGGTCACCCCAGCAGCCCTCGGCGGCCAATGGCTCCCGCGCCCCCCCCCCCCGAAGCAGCAGGAGGCTGGGCAGGGGTCTGAGTGCGCAGCAGCAGCGGGTGGCGGGGGCGGGGGGGGCCGGAAGGAACCGCCTGGGCTCCGTTTGCGTCTTTCCAGGCGCCTCGGACGCTTCTTCTTTTCCTACCGCCGTTCAGCGTGCCCCGGCCACACGCTCCGGCCTCCGGAGGGGGCAGCCATGGAGCCGTGTCGGTGAGGGGACGACTTACAGGGCCCCGAAACATGAAGAAAGCAAAGGGGCAGCGCCCGTGGGCACCAGCGGGGGCGCAGCTCAGCGCTGTCTCCTCTCCTGCAGGGAGCCCGCAGGCTCCTGTGGAAAGCCCTGCATTGCTCAAGTTCCCTTGCTGTTTGGGGCGAAGGCCATGGACACATTGCGCTCAAGGACAAGTGGGGAACAGAGCAACAGGCGCCCCAGACTGCACTGCTCAGCAAAGCCGCTCCCGCCCCCCGCAAGGAGCCGCCCTCTGGGAGGGCTTCGCAGGGTCTCCTGCTGGCCCGGGGAGCTTTGCGTCTCCTGACCTGGGGAGCTGCCCGGCCTTCCTCCCGGCGGGGGATCGAGGCCAGGAGCACCCACATGGTGCCGCTCCCGCTGCGGATCTGCTCTGTGAGCGCCGTGTGCGCCCGGGCCCAGGGCTGGGGTCTGCTGCCCACGCCGCAGGGAGCTGGCAGGCGCTGGACGGCTCGCAAGTCAGGTCAAGCCTCAGACGCATCACAGCCCCCAGCACCCAAAGCTCCACCTGGTGACATGTGACCTAGACCCGGCCCCGGTGGCCTGAGGTGCGGGGTGCCAGAGCACGCGCCTTCCCATGGCCAAGCCCAGGGGTCACGCGCCTTCCCATGGCCAAGCATAGGGGCCTCCAGGTGCTGCCGCAGCACATGCGCCCTGACCACGTGGTCTGCAGCACCCAGTAAGGCCAGTGGGGGAATCCCAGCTGGGACACCGACCCCGCTGCCAGCCTGTGTGCCACCTGTGCCCCCGTGGGCCCCCCCAGAGACTCACCAACAGCGCGGGTCTCGTACTCATTCGCCAGCTCCTCGGACTCCCCGGCAGCGTTGATGTCGTTCTTCACCTTGGCCAGCGTCTTCAGGAGCTTGCTGGCCCCCAGGGCGGCTAGCGTGCAGCCCCTGGTCTTTCAGAGGGGTGCAGAATGTCAAGGTCAACGTGTCGTCCTTGAGGTGGTCACGTCGACATTAATGTCAGTCAAGGACAAATTCATGGCGAGAGCAGGAAATGGTCAGGTCTGAGTGGCTTGCAAGGATTCAGAGCAAAGTCGGCAGCGCACCCTAGCTGTGTGCTCACAGGCTCAGACGCAGAATCAGCGTATTCAAGGGGAATATTAACACACGTGCCAGGAGGAAATGGCTGTGAGGCTTCAGCCACCCTCTAGACCCCATTAGGGCCCACTGTGGGAGCCCAGGAAACGGGGAAGGGGGGTGCAGGGGGGTAGTTCCAGGCAGTGTGGTCAGGAGGGGGCCGGGCAGCACAGTCAGCGAGGCCGAGTGTCCCCTCCAGATCCAATATTCCAGTATCCAACTTTCTGCTCTAAAAGCAGCAAATGTCGCTTCCTTTGGGCTCACGTAGTTCATTGACAAAAACTATTATGAGCTGAGTCACAGAAAAGTCTGAGTACGGATTCTGGACAAGCCCTCCTTTCTGTCCATGCACACCAGAGCCAGATACTCGGCGTTTTTAACGAAACACAGAAAGCCCACGCGCCTGGCAGGCGGTCACCTACCTGAGAAGCAGGTGGCTGCAGGTGGCCACCTCCCATCGCCCACCAGCACACTCTGATGTGACACAGAGGCGCAGCCACGTCCACCCGACCCCAGGACTTCCGCTTGATCTGCTAGGTGAGGGGTCAGTTTTGGAAGGTCACAACCCTGCTATAGGCGACCTCGGACACATACCTGCTCCCAGATGACTTTGGACAGGTCCCGCTTGTTCTGCAGGACGGCCCAGATGAAGAGGGCCTGCAGGGGGTGCCGGGTAATCGGGGACACATCCTGGCGGCGGGAAGAGACTGTGATCAGCCTGGACCGGGCAGCTCACTTTGGGCATGCATTTCGGGGATGGACATTGGGGTGAGGATGCCTTGGGGCAGCACCCCATGGTCATGGGGCTCTGAAACATGGGTCTGACTCATTCTGTCAGCTTGGTGAAGTGAGGTGACTCCCTGCCACTCACCAGCTGGTGCAATCTCACGCAAAATCTTCCCTCTGCCATAGAAGGCAATGTGCTATTAGATGGAAAGATGGAAAGGGTGGAGAAAGTGCTGACAGCAACTCAAGAAGTGAGGCCTCCAGCAGGCCCAAGAGCAAACTGTCTCTTCTCATCATGAAAACTGAGCCTCATCTAGAAAAATCGGACAGCCCCAATTCTAACTTTCTTGCAGGTTACGTTCAGCAAGCGCAACATCAATCCAGGCCTGTGTCTTTGGAGCATCACTGAAGCTTCTATCTAAATGGAGCCCCGGCTCCCATTCCCCATCCCATAGCCTCCAGCCTCCTATCTGTATCCAGCCTCTACAGACGGAAAACAGCTCCGCGTGTATACTCCTTTCCAGCGTCTACAGTCTTTACCGAGCTCCCAAGTGCTGCAGGCACAGCTCTGGGTACTGCTAGCATTTTAACATAAAAAGCGCCAGGCAGACGTTTTCGAAACACTTCCGATTCCTTTCCGCATCTAACTGATTCAGGCGCTGGCAACACACACACTAAACATCACGGATTCGCGAAAGACCTCGAGCTAGTTTGAAGCAATCCCGAGTCCAGGATTGGAGATAAGCAGTTCCCCTGAGAGGAGATCCCACAAAAGCCACCAGGAGAGAGAAGGGGTGAGGCCCCCAAAGAGAAAGCCAGGAGAGGGGGGCAAGTTGTCAGCGTGGGTGACTGGAGCTTGACCCCCGCAGGCAGCCCTGCAGCCCAGGAGAGAACAGAAGCCTGCGGAGCCATCTCCAGGAGGCAGGGCGCTGGGGTGTGTGTGCCCAGGCTCCAGGCCGCGGGGCTCTGAGCAGAGCGCCTTAGCAGAGCTGCAGTCCTGGCGACTGGGCCTGGGCGCGCCTGGGCTCGCAGGGGTCCCGAGAGTCGGCTACAGGGCTACGGACCTCAAGTGCAAAGCTGGGTTCTCCTTTGGAGATATTCACTGCCCCTCCCGTTCTCAAAAGGAGACCCAGCGCCTCTGTGCGTCACCCGACAGCGCAGAACGACAGCCCAGATCACGCGCAGAGGCCTGACACAGGCCAGTCGCTCCTCTGCCCCCACCTGAGCCCTTCAGAGAGCTCTACGGCAGTCGAGCACTAGCCTGGACGCAGCCAGCGCACAGAGCAGGGCGTGGAAGCCCCCGGGCAGACTTCTCATCACCTGCCAGTGACCCAGCAGGAAACGGAAGCAGCAAGCTCAAGCTAGAGCTGCGAGCGGGGGTGAGAGGCGGCAGGCGGATTTCTGAAGGACGCCACCCAAGAGCGGGAGCCGGGCAGACGGCCGGCCAGCACGTACGTGAAGCTCTACGTCCAGGTCCTCCCTGCTGCTCCTGTCCTCCTTCCGGAAGCCTCTGCGGAAGTTGGCCACCAGTTTCCAGACGAAGGTGAGCAGCGCGTCGTTGTAGGAATTCTTGGCGATCTGCAGGTTCCGGTACACCAGGGTGCTGAAGTGGCTGGAGAAGAGCTCGGTGAGGACGTCGTTGGTAAGGAACTTGCGCAGGTTGAGGCCGTTCTCCAGGAAGAGACGGACGAACTTGGGCCGGTCCTTGATGAGAGCCATGAACATGACCTCCTGGAGGTCCGCGGACTGGGGAAAAGGCGCAGAGAGAGGACTCACCGCGCTGTGGGGAGCGAGCCCGCGTGTCCTCCTCAGCTACAGCAGGCTCGCCCTCCGGCCCGGAAGAAAATGTACCTCTCCCGGGGTGAGGGGTGCTAGGCCAGACGCCCGGGGTTGGAAATGCAGCAGGCAGCCGCTGGTCAGATGCGGGCGTGGACGTGACTGTCCACGCAGGGTGCTCGCCCTCGTGGGTTGACCGTGCTGCTCCGAGAAGGCACTCCCTGGGGAGGCCTCCGCCCGCGCCTTTTCTCAGACTGGAGTCTGCAGTAGGCACCGGCTGTGAAGCAAGCAGCAGCCAGCCGTGCCCCCTGCTGCCCCTGAGCCACACGCCCCGTAACTGATGCCCAGTCTCGTTAGGTGACAGGCCCGGGGCCGTCAGCCCTGGTTCCTGTTGACCTGTATCTGCACTGCCTGGGTTCCAATAAAACATGCCCGTGGAAGAATGGAATAAAGTCAAGTGTCCTTCAGACACCGACTGGCAGTCTACAGTCGCCACCTGCTCCCAGACACGTTCTATTTGGCTCCATTGTGGCTCTCACAATTCAGTTCAGTGGCCAACACTGATGAATTTCATGAAATCCACATTTCAGGCATTAATACCCAGAGCCAGATTAACGCGAAAGTCAGCTGTGCTGGCAAGCGGAGAAACGCAACTAGAACCAAGTGGCCGCCCAGCCCCAACGTCCCTGCACCCCCTGGCTGCCCACAGGCCCTGGTTCGGGAGCATGAGCCCTCCAGGACAGGGCTCCCAGGAGCATACAGAGCCTGGAGAGGGCAGGTCACGGCTGCCCTGAGTTCCCACCGAGGGGCGCCAGTGGGAGGGGAGGGGACGAGGTGGCTGTCCCAGAAGGGGGCAGTCGCGCTTCCTCCCCTGTCCCAAAGGCAAGGGTCTGCGGCCCAGCTCCATGTTTCCTTCTAAAGCCTTTTGCCTTTCCAAGGGCCACTCTGGTGACCGGGACATGGATCAAAGTCTGGAAGGTTTATAAAATGCAGGCTGCTGGCGCCTAACTCGGGATCCTGCCGGAGCAGATCTGGGCAGGATCTGATCACCTCTGTTGTTAATGAGGCTGCACCCTGCTGGCATGGGCCAGGGACCTCACTTTGAGAATCACTGGCACATGGAAAAGAAAAGGCTTTGCAGACACACCCCACCTTGTTCTAACATCACAGAGATGTGCAACTGGAAACAAGATGGTGTTTCCAGCCTTGGTTTATCCTCCTAGAAACAGGTGCTGTGAGGTCACAACAAGATGATCCAGATCAAGATCCTTCTAGAATGAGAGATCAAAGCAAGCCCTGAAATGCACCCATAACTGCCTGTCCTGGATGACCAGACTCCGTGCGGGACACACGGAGTCTGGTCATCAAGCAGCAAAATGCGATTGTTCCTCCCCGGGATCAGTGTGAGGGGCCAGAGAACGAACATGAAGAAACGCCCAAGGCTGACGCCGACCTGAGCTTTGTAAGCCTTCAGCTGACTCTGAAGTTGGAGTCACTGTCCTCTGTCACCAGAGGCGTGACCCATGGAAGGCCAAAAGATTTAGAAGGTTATGCAAAGCTTACCAAAATCCTAAAGACTTTCAGTGAATTCGTTAGAGCGTTCTATGTACCTATGTTCGAAGTGCTCTAGAAATATCCTCTGATTTAATCACCCTGGCGCTCAAAAGGAATCTAGAGCTATCACCAGCACCTCCGTTTTGGTGAGCATGATATGCCAGTCTTTCACAACCCGCTCTTGGGGAGAGGATAATCGCCCTCACGTGGTGCCTTTGCCAGTTCCCCTGGTGTAAATGTTCCCATTTTGAGCTACCTGACATCCCTGAATGCAGAGTTGAGAGTAAATGCAAAATAGTCCCATCCTGCAGATCCAACAGACATAAAGAACCACCAGACTATAGATAATCATAACTGTATCGTGTACAGCATCATAAACCAATGTTACCATCACACGTACCATTTTAAATAAATTATAAATCTAATCATAAACGCAGTAAAACAATTCAAAATGATGCTTTTTGCTTATTACCTCCATGTTTAATCTATTAGACTTAGGTCTAAGTCTATATAATTTTATTTTAAATGATGACTGTATTTCACAGCATCTTTAAATTTAGCTATCAGCTCTTCCGGCAGCCAAATGAGGAATGGAAGCTTAGAGAGGTTACGTAGTGGTCAAGGTTAAATCACACACAGGGGCTGACCTGACTCCAGACTCTTAACCATTCTGCCCTCAGCCTTAATGCTCTCGCGCTGAGTTCATAAAATTAAGTAGACTGTGCAGTATGTGCCTGAGTTCACGTCGATTGCCCTGCCTGACCTCACTTACAAAGAACATTTTGCCCAGGGAGTCACTTACACATCAGTTGGCGCAATCTACTTGTAATTCTGCCTCCCAACTGGAGGCTCGCGTGTGAAATAGGCTCATTACACTGCAAAGACCAAATACAAGTCTGGGTTTGTAAAGGCATGAATAATTTAAAAATCCATAAGCCATTACTTCATTTGCCTCTATTACTAAAACGGAGCCCATGTTAACATAAATCAAGCCTGCGCCCCTCATTGCACACAGCGGGCCAGAGTGTTTACTCAACTGGAGCAGGACAACGCAGGCAACGGCCAGCAGCCAGCAGCCTTTGGCTCCAGACACACATGCGTCCAGCAAACTCTTGCTGCCCACTCATGACCGCAATCAGCTCTGGATGGCACAGACAGCCTGCAGCCTTGCAGAGGCCAGTGACAAGCTGTAGCTGCCCCATGAGACATCTGCTCAGGCCGACTTCACTTCAGTCGTGCCCAAGAGGATGCTGCTTCTTAATAACTGCGACCTTAGAATGCCTAGCAAGCGGAACGTGAGACAGGCCAGCCTCGTGACAGGACTGGTCAGAGGTGCTCACGCGACCAGGGTGTCATTATTGCTGAAGACATTCCTCATGGGTCTTCAGTCAGCTTGCTCTGTTTATGGGGATGTGCCAGGGAGACAGGCAGGATGCGAAAATGAGTCCTGCTGTCTGGATTTCTGTCAGGCTACTTCCGTTAAACCCCCCTTCAATCACGATGCATATATTCCCCCCGTCTTCCTGCCCCTCCATTCCCCAGACAGCTGCGCACGCCTGCGTCGAGGCTGAAGAACCATAGCTCTGGATGGCAGTGGTCAATTCACGGGGACTTATCCCAGTGCCTGTGTTTATTATCTACTCACAGCAACCTGACTGTCAGAGCTGTCAGGGGAGTGAAGTGCATGGGGAAGGGGCTGCCCACAGACCTCCTCAGGAATGGGCCAGCCCTTGTCCGGCCCGCCACTGGAATCCCAGGAGGCTGCTCATTTACCTCCCAGCGGCGGTCATTGGTGAAAATCTCGTCATTGGCCAGGTCCAGCTGGTTCCACTCCAACAGGAGCTTCAGCTGCCCACTCCAGTTATCCTTGTCTTGTTCGTTGGTGCTAAAGGCTGTGAGAGATCAGGAAAATGTCAACTCACTGAAAACCTAGGAAGGAGTTAGCACCATCGGTGTGGCCAACTGGCAGAACCAGCGATCGAGGAGTTTCTAACATTCTTAGAGAATCAAGCACTCGGAACCGTCACATCACTGTTTCCAACTCATTCTCACCCAGGGGGCAGGATGAGAATAAATCCAGGCAATGATAGTTTCTTTTCATGTCATGTCTTCACGGTGTCACTGTGGTATGTGGACATTTTCCCACAGATTCAGATCAATAAATACATTCATAGCCATCAATATTCTATTTCAAGGACCCTGGCTGGTGGCTACTGCACTTGAATCTCTACAAGAGCCATGTGGTGACAAGCTCCGCTGACCCTTCCGGGGCCAGCATCCCCGCCTCTGTGGATCTCACAGGTAGAGTCCCATTTTAATGAATATCTTTAGAGCTTGACTTCTGGCAAGCAGGGTAAGAATGAACACTGCTCAGGAAATCAGCCCGCGCCAGCCTCTGCCGAGATCTATTTTCTTCAGGCGACACAGTTCTAAGACAGCAAAGATCCCAGATGGGAACTGACAGCTGAGGCTCGTTCACAGGCTTCGGGTGACCCCTAAGTCCCTGAAACTAATGCGAAGTTATTTATGTGTGTGGAGAGTGCGTGTGTGTGTGCACACGTGTGTACATATGTGTGGAGTTCTGAGACAAGAGTCCCTCGTTTTATCACCTCCTCCAGGGAGTCTGAGACTCGGAAACAGACCCTAAACCCGCACAGGCCTCAGTTCATGGAGAGGCCACTGAGCCCATTTCATTAGTCTTTGGAGTGGCACAAAATTCATCTTCTACTAAAAACACACAACCAAGTGGGCCCTCCCTGGTGGCACAACGGGTTAAATCACAGCACTGTGAAGCTCTCCAGAGCCACTGCAGTATGAGTTCAATCCCCGGCCAGGGAGTGACCCCCATGGCGCGGCAGACCTCTCCTGACCCGCCCGCTGCTCCCCTCAGCAGTGGACTTTGTTAGTCTCCCTGTTCTGCTCCCCACTGTCTCTGGTGAATCCTCTCACCCTCCACACCTCTGGCCTGTACCCCAGCTCTGTAAGCATAAATAAATCTTTAAAAAAAAAATAAAAAACACCCAACCAGTAAGATTTAATCCAGCAGGTGAAGAAGACATTGTAACATTATGAACCTCTGAAAACCAAAATTAGTGCAAGTTTGTATAAAATGGAGCTGTTTAGCAAAACAAACACTCATGGTAAACCAGCACAGCAAGGCCAAGGCCCAGGCACGGCCGCTCACCTTTGTAGAGCGCGGAGGAGATGGCATTGCTCACGATTTCGTCCCCAGCTTCTTCCATTTTAATAACTGTTAAGAGGTGAGAACTCTCGAGAATCTCTCTGAGCTGGCAACAGTGAGAGCACAGATAATGACCATCAGGCTCTTGGCAGGAAGCGCAGAAACGTGTCCTTGGAGGCAGGGTCTTCCCCGGCCCCCGACCCAGCTCCCCTCACTGGCAGTGCCCAAACCCGAGAGACCAACGTCTAAACTGGAGTCGTGAATCCTTGTCCACCAAGAGGGTAAAGCACTGGTGAGACAAGACACAGGCCAAAAAGCTGAGTGTCTCCCTGCCCAGCGACGCGTGTGCGTGTGTGCGTGTGTACACTGTTGTGTGCACACATATGGGCTGAGCGTGTGAGTGTGTGTGTGCCCACAGAAGAGAGCCTGGATGGGGGGGGCCTGGGGAACAGGCAACGGAAAACCACAGGAAGCACCCAGCGTGGCAGCGGGGGAGTAGAAGCCCAGCGTGAGCAGGGCAGACCTGGATTTGGTGGCAGCCACGGGCCGAGGACATGGGTGTGGCACCCTCTGACCTTCCTCTCATGTTAATTTTTCCGTACTGTGATTTTTCTGTAAAGCATCATTCTGGAATCTATTCTGCAGTGTTTACTGTCAAAGACCATTTTTTTAAATCAACTTGCTGGGGCCTAGGCAGAGCCGGCCGCCTCCAAGGTCTGGGGCAGTGGCGAGCTGGGCACAGCTGGCTGAGGCGGAGTCTGCTCTCCTGCCGCTGAATGGGATGGACAGTGCGGGCCTCTTGGGCCATTTGGAAGTGAGGGTCTGGAGGTACAGGGTCCCTTCTGGGGGGTCGGGGAAGTCCCAGATCAGGCTGCTGAAGGCTGACCGGGAGGACAGCAGACTGGACGTTGGGAGGTGACTGGAAGGCCCCCTGGGCAAGGAGGGGTGGTAGCCTGCCTTCAGAAGACGGGTGTCCTGGGCTGGGGAGGCGAAGGAGGGCATGGTTCGGGGGTGCTGGAAGCGGGAAGGAAAGCCCCCCACGCCGCAGGCTGGGTGCAGACAGAGGAAAGACCCAAGGGGCACTGACAGGCAGGGAGCGGCCCGGGGCGCCTGCATCTGGGGGTTCAGGTGGGGGCACGCAGGAGGGGTGAGACCACATTTCCTTTGAAATTAAAAGGAAGGAGACTGCGAGTGTGTGGCAAACTGGCGGGGCCCAGAGCCACTGAGGGCACCCTAGGGGACCTCTCTTCCCCCACACGTGGCCCCGAGGCCACGCCCCCCACGGCCCTGAGTGCTCTCAGGAACACAGGTTCGACTACACCCTCTCGGTGCTTCCCAGCGCACCTGGACAAGACTGACCCCTTGAAATGCTCGGAGGGCCTCCTGGTCTGCCTCACAGGGCTCTGGCTCCCTCCACAGCTACCCTCGCTCCACCCGTCCACAGCTGCCTCATGCTCAAGGCCTGTGCACGCGCCACGCGGCCGTCACAAGCCAACCCGTCCTGCAGGCCGCGGGTCCACCCCCTCCCGTCTGAGAGGCTCCTCCGCGGGCTGGCGCCCACGCATGGCCTGGAGCGTCCATACCACCTTCCCCCGACACCCACAGCAGCCTGGGGGTCACACTGTGACCACTCAACGTGAACACGTCACGTCCTCTGTTTTCTCTGAGGATGAGGCAGCTTCTGTGGTGACGCTGCTCTTTCTGAAGTATCTGCTGCGGCCCTGGCCAGTGAGAGCCACTGAGTAAATGGATGGAGTGAGAAACGAAGGGTCTCGGGTGGCCGGTTGATCGGTCAAGTCTTGAGAAGCTGAGGGACAAGTAAGTTCAGGGGAGTAACCAGGAGGAGCCTGGGCGGCCTGGAGGTTGGGGGGGGGCTGCCCACCTCACCCCAGAGGTCACCCAGCTACCTGGGAGGTTGCTCAGTGACACCAGCTATGGCGTCTCCAGCAACATGGGTGAGCCTGAGGGGACAATGCTAAGTGGAATAAGTCAAAGGAGAAAGCAAATGCAGTGTGATTTCACTCACTTGCAGAATATCAAGAAAAGCAAATGATTACGTGATCTAGTGAGAAAATACTGAGACCGGCCGGAGGCTCAAAACTGCACCACAGGCCAGTTAGCTTAGAAAAGCAATGATTGGGCCTCCAGTGGCCTAGGCTTCCAATCCCGGGGCTATCAGCAGAAGGCCTGAGTTGGATCCCCGCCCCGCAGCTGACCCCCAGGGCGCAGCAGACCTCTCCTGTCTCCCTACTGCTCCCTCAGCAGTGTACTTTGTCAGTCTGCCTGCTCTGCTCCCCACTCTGTCTCTGGTGAGTCCTCTCACCCCCCTGCACTTCTGGCCTGCACCCTAGTTCTTCTATGCCAAAAAAATAAAAAGAGCAAAACAGTTTCCCCAGTCAAGGCATTCAAATCAGCTTCACCAGCGACTTCCTTCTCCTGCTGACAGACGAAACGCTGGGCTTTGGCGCTGCCATGGTGTACAAGGAAGACCAGCTTCGCAACAGACAGAAGGAGCTGGAACCACTGTCAGTCCCTTAGGAGGGATGGAGACTCCTCAGGTCACTTAATACACGTGAGCCCCTTCCGGGGTCGTCAAGCAGAGACTGGCAGCTGCCAGCAGTGTCGGCTTCCAAGGCCCCCCCGCCACCCCACCCCCCGCCTAGTGCCTTTCCTGGGCCCTCAGGCCCGGCCCACTCACCCACTTGATCCAGCACTCAGTCTCCTCCTCCGGCTGCCGGGACACCGTCCGGGGCAGGAAGCGCACCAGCTTCTCCTTAACAACGGACGAGGTCAGGACGTCCTCCATCCCCACCAGGCTGGCGAGCACGTCGGCGATCTGGCCCGAGCCTTCCACCACCACACACGGGATTTTGCTCTTGATGGAGGTGTTGATGGCCTGGGAAAGGGGACACGGGGCAGGATGGAGGAGACACGGGCGACCCAGGGTCCCGAGCCGGAGGCTCACCAGGGCCCCCGGACATGGCGGCTCTTCTTCCTGAGGCATGTTCCTTTCCAGTCAGAGGCTAGTCAATGATGGCCACTGCCTTGGAAAGACAAAGCCAGAAACATTACACCCTGGGCCAGTACCGAAGTCCACACACGTGAC